CTCTCTCTCTCTCTCTCTCTCTCTCTCTCTCTCTCTCTCTCTCTCTCTCTCTCTCTCTCTCGCTCTCGCTCTCTATTGTCACAAACAGAACTGCCCGGTATATATATATATATATATATCTTACACACACCCACACACACCCACACACGAAACTGTCTGGCACAATCATGCTCTTTGTTATGGAGTTGTGTATAGCGGAAATGACACCCCCTGAGAGGCGAGGATGGCTGTGGCAGGACATGGAGATGGAGATGGAGATGGAGATGGCGTACCTTCAACGCCCGCCTTTCCTGAAACGGTTTGAGTACGTATTCCCGAACAGCATTTCTCTTCTTCTGATTCCCCGTTGGCCTAGATTCGTTCCCGCCCAATCCCCCGTTATCCCGCGCCGCCGCCGCCGCCGCGCGAATATGTGTGTGCGATGCGCGGCGTTCGTGCCGCACAGCCGGCGGCAGCGGCGGTCGCAGCAGCGGCCCCGTCGTTGTCATCCGCAGCGTTTGCGATGCTCCATGATTTCGAGAAATCAACGGCTTGAAGGTCACAAGAGAGGCCGCATGTCGGTGTACTGCTCCTCCTACCGCCGGGGCGAGACTAGACAGCGAGCAGAACTCCTGCTGCTGCTGCTGCACAGGGACAACATGAGCTAACGCGCGCGCCGACATAGCTGATAGCTAGCTAGCTTGCTTGCTTGCTTGCTTGCTTGCTTGCCTGCCTGCTTGCGTCTCAAGGGTGGTTACAACACGTGCATCCGCTTCCTCCCCTCTTTCTCTCGCTCTCTCGCGCTCCTCTCGCGCTTCCTCGCGCTCTCAATAACAATTGCAAATTTGGAATCAATCGAACGGGCCGACGCAAGTGCCGACTACAGTAGCAACTGGATTGGCGACTCCTCCCTCCCTCCCGCCCTCCCTCCTCCTCCTCCTCCTTGCTCCCTCCTGGAGGACCACCTACTCTGCACGTCCTACCGGCGGGCAAGGTCCCCCTTGCGCAAATTACGAGCTTTCGGCCGTTGATCCTCGTTATCGACGGTCAAGATCTCTTCATTTGTGCACGTGGGACCTCTAGGTCCCCGGCGGGGCAGAGGCCCAATTTCTTTGCCTTGCCTGGATACGTCTTCCTCCTGCTGGTCGTTGATCTTCATGATTCCAGGGTTGGAAAAATACCGCGTCGCGGCCTGCGGGCCTAGCTCAGTTGGTAAGGCACAGAAGTTCCATTCAGGTGTCGTGGGTTCAATCCCCAATCGCCTCACGTACGTGCCTGGGCAAGCTTGGTGTTCTACCAGCTTGAGATAACCCATTGGCCCCCCAAGCCAGCGTTGGCAGGACCTTCGCTGATGTTGTTGGCTGCTATGCAGCGACAATATTGGCCATTAGACACCGCCATGGGGGTAGGGGGAGGTGCAGTGACTGGCCATTGCTCGGCGCTAGCACCTCCGATTTCCCCCATCGGCAATGCCTGCCCACCCCTCGTCACCGCGATGAGGGACTGGTACAGCCTTGCTCTCGCACCACAGCTGTGATGCAAACCTACCCCGTGGGCTGGGGAGAGATCCGGGTTGGTTGGTGTTCCCCCGTACTGTGTACCGCGCAGGGCGCGGGAGCGCAGCCAAATGGGAGCGAGGAGCAGGACAGGCGAGGTGGCCCTTTTCTCACTCCTCCTGCCTCCACCACCATCGATCGACCGCCGTGGACTCTGGGCCTCGCCACACCACTCGCCACATCGCTCTCGAAATGTGAAAGAAAGACAAAAAATGTGGCGGGTGCATCTGGCCATGTTCTAGCCAGAAGTTCATTCCCATTTTGCAAATTTCGAGAATGGTGAGGCTATGCCATGAACCTTACCTTTGGGCCTCGCTGCACTACTCAGCACATGCACAAAAGACAAAAACTATGGCGGTGTATACTTCCATGTTTTAGCAGGACGATTCATTCATTCTCATTACATTTTGCACAGTGGTGGAGCGAGGGCGTTTGGCCATCCCTTCCGTCACTTATCACTTACTAGACCCCGCCTGCCCCAAAACAACCCCAACCCCCCCCCGCCTTCAAAAACGAAGGCCGAAACGAAAAAAAAAAAGCGTCCACCCCAAAAAAGGAAAGGTCGGGCGACGCCGGTCATGCCCAAACAACGACTTATACAACCTGCCCTTGGTCGCCCGCGCTCCAACCTCTGAGCCGACCGTTTCGGCTATCCGTCTGTGCCCTGCCCTCAACCGTGCACCGTGTAGTTTCCCCATAAACCCCGTTAGGACTCGTCGACACTTCCATAACAAGGACGTCGACACTTCCATAACAAGGACGCCCAGCTACACGACAAAGTGCAACGGGGTAAGACGCAGCCTTTGGCTGCGAATTAAAAAAACGGACCGTTGGATGACTTGGATGACATGCATCTCCGTTGTCGCGTACAGTTCGCAGCCCGTCAGGGGGTGCGTTTTATGCCCCTAAGAACATTTTTTGTCGTCCTTCGTTATACGGTCGTTGGAAGGCTGGAAAAACAAGGCATGGCAGTTTAGAGGGTGGTGGCATCGTATTTGAAACTGCAGGACCGGTACCTGTCTGTGGGGCCGCACGGGTTTTGGTCAAGGACCGCATAGGACCGGTAGCTGCGCGTAGAAGGCTGAGGAGGCCACAATCCTTTTTCGAAATTGAAACGGTGCGGGTCCACTTTTCTCAAATAACAGAGTTCCTCGAATTGAAACGTACACATTGTATTCTAATACAACCTGTACCCTTTTCTATTCGGATGTCGAAAAGAAAAAATTGTTGTATTCCGATAAAATTACTTTTTTTGTTGGAGGTCAGCGCCTGCCCTTGTGCTCCCCGCCATTGACATGCTGCATATTGCAGGTCTCTCTCTCTCTCTCTCTCTCTCTCTCTCTCTCTCTCTCTCTCTCTCTCTTACACACACACACACACACACACACACACACACACACACATACACATACTCATCCATTTGCTAAAAACTATATATGTTCTCATATATATGCAACTCTGTTTGATAATATATATATATATGCATATATTTATATATATGAATATATATATATGTACGTATATATATATATATGTATATATACATATACATATATATATTTTCCTACGTATACACATGACTATACACATTGGAATATGCGTGCATCCACGTATATGTATAACTTCTAACAAGATACATGATTGTGGATTTCTGCATTTTGCATAAGAGTATTAGGAGGCTTTGATGATGTGAAGCCTATCATGGTGACTTTTTGACTAGCTGTGATGCCTTGGCTCTGGGATAATGAATGATCTTCCATTGACAAAATGTTTTTTCCATTGGGCCCGTAGTGAAAATAAGTGGTCACCCCTTATGCAGATAACATAAGGGAAGATTCTGCAGATTTCTGTTGAAGACAGGCTGCATAATTTCCCCTGCTGGTTAGACTCATATATGGTAATTGATTGAGGACTTGTGACTTTTTGACTAACTATGACGCCTTGGCTCTGGGATAATGAAAGATCTTCCAGTGACAAAATGTTTTTTTCATTGAGCCCGTAGTGAAAATAAGAGGCCACCCCTTATGCGGACAGCATAAGGGAAGATTCTGCAGATTTCTGTTGAGGTCAGGCTGCAGAATTTCCCCTGCTGGTTAGACTCATATACGGTAATTGGTTGAGAACTGGTGACTTTTTGACTAGCTGTGATGCCTTAGCTCTAGGGTAATGAATGATCTTCCAGTGACAAAATGTTTTTTCCATTGGGCTCGTAGTGAAAATAAGAGGCCACCCCTTATGCAGATAGCATAAGGGAAGATTTTGCAGATTTCTGCTGAGGTCAGGCTGCAGAATTTCCCCTGCTGGATAGGCTCATATACGATAATTGATTGAGGACTGTCTTGTCGGATGCAACAATGGGTCTGGGTTTTATACGCCCGGTTCAGTTTCTCAAAAAGAGTTATGGGTCCAACACCAATGGTCGTTCTTAAGAGAGGAAAGTCCCTGAGACTTTTTTGCGGCGGTGGTATAATTTGCTAAATAGCCCACTTATGGGATTTGGCCGATTCTGGAATAGCTCTGCACCAGTCCCAGAAAAGATGGGACGACTCAGACCTGGGTTGTCACTTCGCCTCATTTCGTTTACTACGTACGGTATGTAACTAATGATGACTGTTCGGTTATTCCTCTTTCATTGTGTCTACCGAGCGGGCGACTCTGGATGCGTTTCTTCCATTTCGCCCACTGGTGGCGCAGTGAACAACGCCCTTGCTTACAGCTCCTGATTCGCTGCTTGCGCGCGCTGCATCTGCTTTCTTTTCCTTTTCTCCTCTCTCTCTCTCTCTCTATCTCTCTCTCTCTCTCTATCGCTTCCTCTCTCTATCACTTCCTCTCTCTCTGTCTCTCTGTCTTTCTGTCTCTCTCTCTCTCTCCCGCGCGCGCCCGCCCTCCTTCTCTCTCTCTGTCTTCCTCTCTCTCTTCTCCCCCCCTCTCTCTCCCCCTTCCTCCCCGGTCTCTCCAATAATGTTGCAAGAGCGACATAAGCATTTTCCTTCGGCGTTATCCTAGCCATGAGTGGATCATCTGCGCCGTCTACTTCGTCACGTATCACGGTAATATGAAATGACCCCAAAATTCTCCTCCTTCATCCCCTGCCTTGTTTGGTAGGAATTTGTGAAAAGGCCTTTGGGATTGCCTACTAACCCTTTTTGTTTCGTCGGCATAATGAAGCCGCTTGGCTGAATTGGGACCATCTATTTTTATTTTTTTTCCTCCCTTTTATTTATGTAGATATATTTTTTAGGGATATTTGATGCTACCTGACCTACCTATGTCTGTATATGCATATTGGTGCCTTGTTTGATGTAGGACATGATCGATGCTGGTCGTTTTGGTTGAAGGTTTCTGTATGATAAGCGGAATCTCATCTTCGATGGAATCTGCGATCTTCGTATTGGGAATCGTTTGTGTTGTCGCTGCGTTATTAGGCTACTTAGCGTTCATTGCGTCTCTTGATGATACTCGCATGAGAGGCGTGTGTTGCTGTCACTTGCTGCATAACAATTTTTCAAGCAGTCCTACTAGTAGGGCTAATTGTTTGGCGTAGTCATGGCTCGTGTTGCTCCTCGTATTTTTCTTCGCTGCTCGTGGGTTATTCTCGTAATCCTAGCGGTATTTGCGACTGGATATTTGATAATGTTAGGATCTCAATGGGGACAAGATGTTGTGTGCTTTACCGCGGGTGCAGGACCTAGGTTCCCCTTCGATAGCATGTTGCTCCCGGTTATGTTCCTTTCGTATGCTCTCATTGTCCTCGCTATTGTTTTAATCATGGATCGGGATATAGTGGTAGTACATGATGTTGGGATGGAGTGGTGACAACGAGTACTCTGCCAAGGTTTGTGTTGCTCCTCGTGTTTTTCTTCGCTGATCGAAGGATTATCCTTGGCGATATTTGAGTTTGCATCTTTGATAACGTTACGATCTCAACAGGGACGAAATGGTGTGTAATTTGTCATTGATGCAGGACTTAGGTTCTCCTTCAACGTCATGTCACTCCTAGTTAGGTTCCTTTCGCGGTTGTTTTTGTTGTAGATCGGGATATAATGGTAAGTAGGTGGTGTTGGGATGGAGTGGTGACAACAAATACTTCGTGAGAAGTAGGCGTGCTTTGGGATTACTCTGAATTTGGTACATCTTTTGCTATGATTCTCGCGTGATTGAAGTCCGTCTATGATTGGTCCTGAGGTGTTTACATGTTCTTATTATCGATTGTGATTGACCTTGTTCGTTCTCTTTTAAAGTGCGCATGCGCGATTTGCTGCGTTGTTATTCTTATCATTTGAGTTAATTTACC